GCGGCGCCCCGGGAGCCCGAGGGACCCAGGCCACCCCCGCGGCGCAAGGGCGTGTGGGAGAGCGGGCGCTCCGGGCGGCCCGGCTCTTGCCCCGAACCCCAGGCCGCCCAAACTGCAAGTCTTCTGGGGGCCACACCCGGCCCCCCGGGAAGACCAGTTCAAGGCAGCAGCGCACACAGACAAGAGGATCTGTGCGTCTGTGTGTTTTGTGCTTTAACATGACAAAAGGCATGCAAAGACTCCACGCCTCCCTTCCTGCTTGTCAGTAGTCCTTTACCTGCCCTGACTCCCCGTCAAAAAAAAACACCTAAAGTGACTTTCACGGGAAAGACCTCTGTCAGAGAATCGGCCCTTTTTTCTAGGCCGGCTGTCAAGCTCCTAGGCCACTCGGGACAGGTTTTCTCACCGAAGCCTCAAAGGGCCAGCACAGTGAGAGGTGGAGGTGGCTTTAGAGGATGACAGATGCGCAGCACTAATTCACAAATAGCGCCCCGAGTTTTGGAGCCGGGGGCCTGAATCAACAGCTCAGGTACTGCCATTTTCTCAAGAACTCTCAAGCCACCGTCCTGCCAGTGGGGCTTCCTGTGAGGCCCCTGGGGCTGCAAAGGTGTCCTTGGGGCGGCGCCGGACCAGATCTGGGGGGAGAGAAGCTAGAAACGCAGAGCATCATTCCAGAGCCACCCCCTCAGGTCCCCACTCTCCCTGCAGGCCTCAGACTCAGATCAGGCAGGTCACACCTTGGATTCAGCAACAAGGCCTCAGCTGGGGGAAGGGAGGAAAGGGTGGGAGGAAGGGGCCAGTTACTCTAATCTTTCCTGAACTCCCAAGTCCTTCCCACACATTTTCCAGGAACTGCAGACAGCCTTGGGGACTACTTGCAGCCGGTCACCCTTCCTGTCTCCCCTCACTTCTTTTTCACACACCACCCCCCATTTCGTTGTTGGGGACTGAAGATGGGCTTTCTTCGTTGTTGTCCTGTGGGTGGTATTCTAAGTGATCGGGATTTCTTCAATCCTTTAAATTTCACCTGGGCAGGGAAAGGGGGTGCTAAAATGAAGCATCTTTCACGCTCAGTCACATATTCAGAGACGGGCAAAGGTTTGATGGAGGACAAACGCGGCGCCAGTCCTGGGTCTCGCCGCTGCAGGCGCGGGGCTGACACTTACCTGGTGGGTGGGCCCGTGCAGTAAGTCCCAGGCTTACCCTGGCAGCGGAAACAATACTCCAGAACATCTATCGCTCACTGCAGTACTGTTTCCGCTGCTAGGGCACGGCTGGGTGCGGGGCGCCCACCCTCCTCCGTCCGCACCGACCGACCCCCAGAGCAGCAGCGCAGCCCTCCCCCGACTTTGGCGGTGCCCCGTGGGCGGGGAAGGGCACAGATGGACCGGGAAGAGACACGGAAGCCACCGCCCACCTACCTGCTCCCGAGCCGGCCGTGCGGGGAGCTGGCCCCCGGTGGCAGAAACGCTCCTCCAGCAGACCCTTACCTTCTACCTTCCCCGCGAGGGGGTGTAGCAGCGCCTCACGTTTTGAATGGTTTAGAGCACTTCAAAACATGAATTGCTGCTGCATCCCCTCGGAGTCAACGAAGGGGGGTCGCTCTGGGACACCTGTGGGTGAGGAAAGACTGGGGGTCTGGCAGGAAGCCCCGCCCCACCCCGCCAAGTGGCGAGGAATAAGGTAAAATTTATGACCAGGACACATCACTCCAAATTGACGGACTTTTCATAACTTCACGCTTGATTTCCAGGATCTGCAGGTGGAGTGGAAGGTGTGGCGCTCAATTCCATCCCTCCCCCGCCCCCGGGAGGATGAATCTTGGAAAAGCGTAGTAAAAAGCAGAGCCACGGAAAATAGGAAATAGGGTAGGAGAGAATCTTACCTCTGAAAGTAGATGAATAAAATTAAATAAATTGAGGCAATTTAGTAACATCTGGGTCACTCTTGCCAGCTTCAAAGTCTTGGTGAAACTTCATCCTGCTATGTAAGTCTTATTCATTGTCCCCATTTGAAAAAACAAACAAACAAACAAACAAAACCCTTTTCATTTATTGGAAATAGACACAGATGACTTAAAGGAGATACCCAAAGCCTTTCTGGTAGCTTCAGCTGATTCTAACATATGCTATAGCTGCGAAATATAGATCTGTGTATCCAAGCATCAGATGTCCTCCTTAACTCACTGCTAGTGTTTTCATTCTTACAGTAAACATCCTGCTTTGAGTTATTTTTAAGGGTAAAGAATGAAAGATAACTTGCTGTAGATGAAATACCTGGATGTTTACATAGTAAACTGGTTACTCAAAAAGTATTAAAAATTTATACCTATCAATACATAAATCAAAAAGTTTAAATTCTTGATGTCAAATCACTCCTTCCTGTCTCAAGCAGTTCTACAGAAATTCTTTCATGTCCTGAAATGGCCGCACTGTGCATACTCCTTAATGATTAACTCATTAGATACTTTTTCTTTTTAAAAGGGACACATATTAGGAATAAGCTACATGCATTCCCGCATTTTGTTTAAACATATTCAATTCAGCACAAGAAAAAAAAAAAAAACACCTTGAAACTCTCAGTCACAAACCTGAAAGTTTAAACAAAACCAGCACAAAACTGTAACGGTTTTGAAAGTTAAAATACATTTCTGTACAGATAATAAACATTTAGAGTATACAAGTCTGCTCAGTGTTTTGTTTCACTTAAAAATTATGTGGGTTTTTCAAAACCAGTACAATGAATGTTAATTAAGTGTCCTATTTATTAGTTAATAAAATGTGCACAGGATTTAATAAGACTAAGAACAAACTTTATAACACCACAGACTGAGATCCAGTGTAAACAAATAAACTATGTCACAGTAAACAAAGTCATTAATAATAATAACCCCACTCTCTAAATTGGGACAATTAAAGTGTCTCTAAATTCCATCTTGTTTTGGCTACAGTATTTGCAAACAACTTTTACATTGACCTTTGGGATTAATGGAGAAAAACGTCGTTGGCTGCCCTTAAAAAGAAAAAAAAAAAAAAGGTTTAGCAAACGTACAATTATATTTGAAAACTCCACAACTTTCTCCCAATTAAATATTTCATGTTCCATACAAATATTCACATCAGATGTTAACGCCACCCATAATTTTACATCTCCTTAATTGACTACTTAGAAAAACATAAGTTTTTTTCGAAATAGCATCGATGTCAAAGGTGAAGGTCCCTTCCAGGTTGCTTTGTAAACTCACTGGATTCGAATTTATTTCTACCTTTCCCTTAACCCCTTTCTTTTTTCCCCGTTGACAGTACAACGACTTACAGCCCTAAGAAGCTACCTCACTCCCCTAGTTTATATATTTCCCCTTAGACTTAAGTTTACTTACGGAAAGAGAGTACAAAGAGGCGTCTTGTCACTTCAGGAGAGGGTCAGTCACTGATACAATAGACAAAGAATCGATACTTTCGAGTTGCCATGGCCCCACCCCCTTCTGAATTGCAATGTGTTTGGCCAAATGATTTAAGAGCCAAAGAATACGCCTCTTCCTCTGTTCATATTTTACAACGTTTTGTCTTTTTATTTTGCAGATGCCTTCTTCACCCACACCCCAAACACGATGTACCTTCCCTCGCCGCTTGAGCCAAATTTTCCCAATGTCAAGTTTCCTACAGAGAAAACTAAACAATCTTGAAAGTTTTAATTCGGGAGAGACAAAGTAAAATTAATCACACGTTTCTTTCCAAGACATACTTTACTGCTTGCAAAGAAGTCAGGAAAAGTCCACTTACATTCTGTCAAAACCAGTCGCTCCCGACCCCGGCGAGGCTGACAGTCGGTCACTACCCCTTACTCAGTTTTCCCTCCCCGCCCCTCCATGTTAGCTTTTTTTCCCAGCCCGTTTCCTGAGAATTTTCCCGGCCGCACTTATTTGCCAAACACGTTAAAGGTCAGTTTCGCCCCCACCCCGGCCCCCAAACATACTTTACAACCCCAAAGCGACACAGAACGTTTTCAGAATTATCACCAGATTTTTTTCAGTCTGCCTTAACCAACGTTACAATCGGGAAACACGCCAGCCAACAAGTCACTTTAAAAAAAAAAAAAATCGCATGTCACCTCTCGCTCCACTCGAAAATGGCGCCGAAATCGAAGAACTTCTTAAATTTCATTGTAAGCTTTTTGCAAAGGTTTCTGGGATTTTCCTGCGAAGCTGCTTCGCCGCGTCTGAGAGCAAGCGAACGAGCGAGCAAGCGAGAGAGAGAGGAAGGAAGGGGTGGGGAGGCGGGGAGAGACGGACAGAGCGACAGAGCGACAGAGCGACTGTGCGAGAGAGCGGGGCCG